CTTATTAATGCTCATAACACCATGGTACAAATAGGAAAGATAATACTTTTCTCTTAGAATCTCTAAGATTTTTTTTGTCTCTAAGTGGATTCATAAGATTCCCTGAATTATCATCACTGATCTCGCAATCGCAATAAATACCAGAAATGATCGTGATATACAATATGTTTAAGCCCGTATTGCCCATCCCTATCGTTGTGTCAATCACGTTTACGCATTGCCTTCGAAACTTTCATCCGTCATTACAAAATTCGTATTGGGTTAAATTTTCTGCATTTTTCACATTCATAGCAAACATTTTGACTCAGTGTGCAAGGTTTCTGTGTGTGACGATGACGAATCAGAATCAGAATCAGAATCAGAATGAGCTTTATTGCCAGGTATGTTTACACATACGAGGAATTTGTTTTCTGCTGTCTGAGCTTCACGAGCGCGCCAGCTCTCTTCCCCCGTCTGCGTGTCCTGAAGTGCTTGATCAGCGCCACAGCTCCCCCGACTACAATGTCCAGCAAAACATCAGAATAGTCGAAAACCGGTGAAATATCGTGTGGTGTGTACTGCTGAATGTCCAGCAATTCGTCTCTGGTGAAACTGATTGCAGGGATATAACTAAAGACAGGACAAACTAACAAAAACATAAAAACAACTGCGGAGCACGCCACGGAGGCAGCCATCAGCGTCGGCGCCATCTTAATTTAATTTTAAAAGATAAAACGCATACAAACATTTTGGACTCAGTGTGCAAAGACCTTAAAGCAGCACTATGTAACTTTTTCTGTGTTCAAAATTTGCAAAATGTATATAATGAGCGAGTACATCATGAATTCATCTTCCAAACCGAATTTTTGTCTTATTCCGAATCAGCTTATACACTTATAATAAGTACTTATATTTGGACTATTGTAGCCTGGTCGGGTCGTCACCGCTGCGGAGTAACACATACCACAAACATTTTAATACTGTGTTTGTCATTCTTTGTTTGCATCAGTCACAGAAATGTGTTTAGTCATGCTTTCTCAGTTTCAGAACATCTCTTTTACCCTACAGACTGTGAGGACTCAAACTCGAATGCAAGCAAGCGTATGCATGCGGGTGGTGTATATAAACTATTGTGGTGGACAGAAGGCTTGCCAACACACAACACAAACACATGAGACAGACTTCTGATGTGGGCAGTCGCTTTACAGTGATGACAGAAACTTTTTAATAGCTTATCAAATGGAGGGAGTGTTGGTGGCACTGCGATGGAGCAGGTGGTGTTTGTATGACTCAATCAGATGGAGCACCAGCCCTCTTAACCTTGCTGTATGTCTGCACACACACCAGCATTGAATGTAGGACAGTGGTTTGCTGGATTCCAGCCAGAATTAGAGACACCCTAGATAGACACTAGTCATTAATAACCCGCACAGACTAGTCACCAACCTAGCCAACTTTGTTCGTCACGCTCTTTCTGTCCTTTTCACTCTCTCTCTCACCCATGTTTTTTCCTCTTTCCCGTCCTCTCGCTCCAAAGCACTTTAGTCACTGTGTAAAAGTAGGTTGCGTTCAATGCACCGCTCTCTCGTTCGCTCCCTCATTATACCGTCATTGACAAACAACCTGTCACATTGTGTGAGAGGAGTAAGTGGCATTCCCACCCACTTCTAAAACATACACACACACGCGCGCATACAGTGCACTACATAACTGATTGCGTCTGGCCTATCATGATCCATTTTTACAGATGAGTTTGTGTACTCCTCAGCAATCAATCTGGACTAATTATGTTTGTGCAGACAAATTGATGGCACCCTTTCAGAATGACTTTTTGCATTTCACTTCATTTGTCTTTTTAGTGCATATTCTATGTGGTTTGTGTCTTCAGGTATGTGTGGTCATATAGATTTGAGAATTTAGGTATTCTTAGATTTATTGTCCAAAAAACTTTAAAGGACCATTCAAAACTGTAGCGTCAGTAATTTTTTAATGTTTTTGCTCATTTTGCTCTTATGCTCACTGCATTTATTTTAAATAAAACAGTAATCTGTGAAATACTTTTACAATATAAAATAACTAAAATATAATTTATCCCTGAGATGGCAAAGTTGAATTTTCATTCGTATATATTTTTTTTTCATAGTTATCACTGAGCAAATATGCCGTGTTTAACTAAAATATATATATTTTATATACCGCTGACGCTCTGGAGCTTACGTCTCCGAAAACATTGAAGCAAATTTTCAAATAGACATTATCTTTATTAACAAACTGCATATTTGAAGTCCAAACATGTACATTCTTGCCTAAAAAACTCTTATAACTACATTCTGTGACACAAAACAGTATTATTTTTTAAATTATAGTGGATTTGGGCATCCGCCATGACACTCGCTGTGAGAAATACGGCAACTTCGGCAAGTGGAGTGATACAAATGGTGAAACGGCTGTTGGAGTTCTGGTGGACTCTAATATCACACTCTTATCAGCCAATCAGATTCGAGGACCAGAAAGGACTGTTGTATAAATATATTTGTATGTATTTGTAAGCCCTGCTATCCTTGACCTACAGTATTTTTTCCTATTGAGAAAATCATATAGAGAAGTGTTGTGATAAGGCCAAGATCCAGGCATGATGACGAATGCAATTCCCACAAGCACTGATGAGTTTTTCTTTCTTCAATCATTCTACAAGCATTGCATTAAGCTTCTCTTAAGGGCAGCATGAAAACAAAATTGGTCTTGTTTATTTGTGGAATAAATGTACCTGGTCTCATTTTGCATGATTCATCAGTGCTTATGAATCGATGCTATTGTAAAGAAAAAAGAAGGCTGAAGGCCATGCAGGTGGAGAAATATTAACCACAAATATGAGCTGGATTTTCAAAATGCAAATCAATTCCTGTTTAATCAAACCAGGTCTCGGCCTTCATTACTTCCTTCTAAATATTGTTTGACTCGAGTACACACTGCATTACAGGAGTCAGATGTGTTGCGAAGGCTGTTTTATGTTGTCTTTAACTAAATCAAATCATAATTGGAATATGTACTCGGCATATGAGTCACACAAGATCTAAGTAATCTGTACAAATTATTTCACAAAGGCTTTGGTCCAGTTCTGCCTGTCACTTTCCCATCAAACATTTCACACCAATCTTTGTTTTAACCCCTCAATCAGGCAGAAGAGGGTGGACCGCAATAGAGCTGGGAACAAACCAATAAATGTCCACATATTTATCACTGAGTCATTGAGATTGCCAAGACTTCTGCTATTGCTTTTACTTAAGAGTTGATCTCCATGGCAACAGGCTATTATGGGAAAGCTGTCTCTGTCTTTCTCTCTAATTGCGTCGCTGTTAGCTGGCAGTACTGCTGCTAGGTTAGCATTCAGTACAAAAAACGCAAACATCATTTCCTGCCTGTGGACATGGCAAAGAACAGGAAGTGCATGCTGAGATATAAACGACAAAAGATCTGTGAACTTCTTATTAACCGCAGGTCTGAGTTGCTGAAGTGGCTTTCTGAATATTAGTCTCGAAAGTAAAGGGCACAGACACAAGCCACCTCTGGTTCCTCTAAATGCTACCTCCACTTCATCTGCACCGGCAAAGTCCACAAGATGCAAACTGCTGCCGAAGCCGTATTCATATATGGCCGTAAAACATAATATCGCCACTATCAATATGGTAATTTTCCCATCCCATCCCTAGAGATCATAAAGCCTGTATTTGGTAGCAACTTTTCATCAATAAAAAGGGAGGCTGTTCTTGAGTCTGCGTCCTGTGTTTAAAAGCCCCATTAAATCACAATGTGGTTGTAACCGAGGCCCTGGATCTCGCCTTGAAGGTCACTTTAGCAGCCTCTGGGTATGGGCTCCAACCGACTGTCTTCAGTGCTTAGCTAATGGAAACTATGGCAAACATCTCACAGCTCTTGTTATCTTCTATCGGCTACACAAAGATCTCTACCATCTGGGGATTTTTTATTCACAGTTGTGAGACTAAGGCATACATTATAAGACAATAATCTAAAGATTGTGATTGGTTGTTTTATACAGTACATCAACAATTAATTTCTATGACTATAGGGTCTAAATATTTTATGCAGCATATACGATTCAGGAGAATATGAGACGGACAATCTTTTGGTTTGAAATAGAGATTGCAATTCTCACATGATTGTGAAGAAAAAAAATATATACTGTATCTATATATATTCTCATCCAATATTTTGAGGAGGCACTGCCTCCCTTGCCTCCATGGAGGAAATGCCCCTGATATACATATATTCTGGCAATCTGACAAAATTCTCATTTTATTTAGATATATCATGCATAATATTTGTCTTGTTTTATTTTCATTTTTGTACTATATATTTTTTTTTCTCATCCAATATTTTGCACTGCCTCCCTTGCCTCCTCAGAGGAAATGCCCCTTATGTATTAGACTACTACACAAAATCACACGATTTACTAGAGATTCTGACAATCTGACAACATTTTCATTGCTTCAGTCTATTTAAAAAAATACATCAATTTAAATTAATAACAATTTCAAATAAAATGAATAAAGGAGTCAGTGCATTGTTAATAAAGACTTGTTTTGTTATTGGATGAGCGTTTTGAATGAATGTCTTGAATGAATGATTCATGAGAAAAAAAAATGTCACTTTTGTTTTTTCATGACAAGTGTCAGTGGAGCGTGAGCAGTGCATGTTTTGTCGCTGCCCATGTTAATGAATGAGAGTGTATGTAATGTTTTTTTATACTGATAAAATGGTTTTATATACTGATTGTTGTTTTCTCACAATTACTTCAATGCAAAAGTCTTACAATGCTCTACTATGGCACTTAATTATGTTACATATTTATAAAAAAACACACAACTGGTGATATTTCTCACAAAGCAAATAATAACAAAGCTGAAGTGATTCCTCCTAAAGCGGTTTATGGCTTTTAATGTTTTAAACTAAAACTAAGCAATTCATAACCCTGGCCATATTTTTTTTGTTTTCTGTTTCAGAATAAGATCATTCTGGACCCGCTAACATTCAGTGAGGCTCGCTTCAGGCCGTCACTTGAGGAACGTCTGGAGAGCATCATCAGTGGCGCCGCCCTCATGGCCGACTCCTCCTGCACACGCGACGATCGCCGCGAACGCATCGTAGCCGAGTGCAACGCCGTGCGCCAGGCCCTGCAAGACCTGCTGAGCGAGTACATGAACAATGTAAGTCCTGAACAAGATTTTACGCAATGTAAGGTAGCTAAATGACTATACTTTTTAAAGGTTTTAGTTTTTAGTTTTTCTGGAAGGTTATTTTGTTTAGTTTGTTCAAATTGTTTTAAATCAGACTTTATCAAATTGGATTTAGGTTTAGTGACTTTACTTGCCTTTTAAGTGTTGTTTTTATAAAGGTTTTGTGAGGGGACTAATTGATGAGACTTTTTTTTCTCCTTTTATTCTTGCACATCCTGCATTGCTTGTGAATCATTCCTAAGACCGGATGGCTAGAAAACATACATTTACCTTCAACAACCATGGTTACAGTAGACATACCTTTCATGGAGTTGACACATACCATATGAATACACATAATATTTCCCACAGAGTGGTTATTTATTTATCAGTGCTGACATGGGACATGAAGAGCTTTCTGCATGGAAAGCTTTAGCGTCATCACATATAGCACACTTAGGCTGTATGAGGTTATATCAGGTTATGTACATTTCTGAAGTTTTAAGCAGGGGAACTTCCAGAATGAACTTCCAACATGGCTGAAGCGATATCAAAGCTACACTGTAAGAAATTTCAGTTTGTGTGATTATATGTTGTACTTTTCTCCAGCTGTAGTGTATGGAAAGGCCTGCTCAGCTAAAAAAAGGCAGGATTATTGCTTCCTGACATACAACTGAATTTATTTGGTAGACTTCATAATGTTCATACACTACTGAAATTCAAAGATGTTTTTGAAGAAGTGTCTTATGCTCACCAGGGCTGCATTTATTTGATCAAAAGTACAGTAAAAGCAGTAATATTCTGACTGTTTCTTTTTAAATATATTTTAAAATGTAGTTGATAAAAAATTAAATTGTAGAAGCCATTACTCCAGTCTTCAGGATTCTTTGATGAATAGATGAAGTTCAAAAGAACAGCATTTATTTGAAATACAAATCTTGTGTAACATTATGTCTTTACTGTCTCTTTTGATCAATTTCATGCATCTTTGCTGTATTAATTTATTTAAAAAAAAAAGTTTGCGGTCAAAACCTTTGAACAGTACTGTTTGCATATATATAAGCAACAATTTCCATATTTATCTTCTGACCTTCAGTCATGGCTAGATACTGACTGTTCATCTTGAGAAAGTTCACCAGTTAAAGGGTCTTAATATTTTTTGATAAATAAATACTCGGACATTTCGCCATTCACAAACACTTCTTTTAAATGTCTTTTGGTGTTTGATATCCTTGACTCAAATGAAACACTTCAAAGCAGATAATCCTATTTAATGATCAAGGTGGTGTGTATGCATATATGTGTGTCCGTGTCAGTTACTTTGAAACAGGTGTCACAAAGCCATTGGCAAGTGTTCTGTAATATTGATCTCTTTGATATCAATGGCGCTGTCTGGCTCTGATGCTGTGCAGTAATCAATGGCACCCGGCTATAATCTAATGTATGTTTCTTAGTGCTGGTGTGTTCAAGCACCATACAGGAACAGAGGGATATTAAATACAACCTCTCATTCGATTAGCGATACCCCTTTAGTCAAAACACTACGCCAGTGGAGATGAATATCACATCAGCACTCCAATTACAAGCTCCTGCTCTGGGAGGGAATGTGTTTGCGTGGCTAGGACACTCGTTTTATATGAGTTTTAGTCTCTCAAGATATTCATTTTATGTGTGTTTATTTTGGGCATGTTTGTATCTGTGTCTTTGTATTAGGTGTGTGCGATAATGACAAAAAATGATATCTCTATATTTTCTGGAATTTTGTCAATAACGATAATTAGGCAATATTTAGTAAGACACTATAGGGCTGTTACCAATAAAAATAAATCAGTATCGACAACATTTTTCTTTTCATTGCAGACGTGGGACAGTGGCATTGCAGACTGAAGTGGCATTTAGATGCATTTACACAGATTGTTTAACGCAGGACGTTGAATGCATTTAACCTGCAGTTACAAAGCAGTTACAAATGCATAAATAATAAAAATGTTGAATACTGATATTTGAAATGATTTTGGGAAAAAAAAGGGAAAATATACTCTAAATAAAAACCTAAAATTGAGTCATTCATTTAACCAATTTGTTCAAACGGCTGATTGATTTGGTAACAAAACACCGTCGTGTGTTACTCAGAGAGGCAAAACAGTTCTCCTGTGGCTTTGTTTGAAACTATTTTCGTTGATGAAATACAGCAAAAACAAGAACTTGTGTCTAAAATGTAAGTCAATCAATATTAACTTCTTCTTTATTGGACTGTTCTAATCAATTTCACATTTACAATCGTGCTGATATTTGAAGAAAAAATACTCTTTGTGTGATATTAACTATATCGGATGATATAAATATAAAATACATATATTCAGGGCATTTTTGCTCCATTATCTTGAATTTTGGAGGAATTGTAAATGTATTTTAATAGGCTACAGTAAATAACGCAGTGAAAGTGTGAACTCTGTGCTCGCACAGTAATCTAACTTAAATCATGTAGTGTATGTGTACTCTCTGTGTGTGTGTTTTTGTTTGTTTTTTGCGATATACTCACAAATGTCAATTCGCATATCGTTTAAACAACAATTATGATATTATCATAGACAATATATATCGCACACCCCTACTTTGTATGGGTTTGTTCATATGAATACTTTTATTAGCACAAATACATTTTCATTATACACATGTTCTATATACTGCCATTATGTTTTGCATCCTAGAATCTGCATATTCATAGGCTGATCCTGGTATATAAAGCTTTTTTATCATTAATTCATTCATTTTACTTACACAAAAAAAAAAAGTTGTTGTTGTTTTAATTTCAGATACCTTGCTTTTATTGTGGTAACGTGCTATCTAATCTGATCTGATCTCCAAAAATGCATGTTTAAACCTGGCATAGAGTGCATTTGTCATGCCATTATCGTATTGTTTATGTTTTGCGGCTCTTCTGTTGTCACAGCTTTCTAGTCCCTCAGGCTGAATTGCTGTAGTTTCTTAGCTCACTTTAAGGTGATTCATTATTTTTGGTAGTTTCTGCTAGTGCGCTATAGCTGCAGGCATGGAAGTATGTGCTAGCGATCTAAACCAAAGACCAAAGAGATGGCAAAACTTGAAACAGGGCAAATTATTATTTTGTTTTATTGTTTTGTTTTGATATCTCTATGCTATATGCCAAAACTAAAAAAAAAGAAAAGAAAAATTTTATCCCAACAGATCAGTGATATGTTTTATTTTGGTAGAAGAGAACACAAGTTTACATGTAAACGTTATTAGCTTCTAGCTTCTGGGAATTATGGGTACAGAGAGCAAGCAAGAAATAGTGTCTGATTTCTACACTGTACACAAAAACTACCATTGGTTCAGTTTCTTCTAAAACCTTTTCAACTTCTGCCACCGTCCTTTCACCTTTTGCTCTAATCGTTCTTCAAGCTCAAGCCTGAACGACTTGTGGAACGGCACGAGCTTGATCAATGTGCTGGTTTGCAATAAATTAAATTGAAGTGACAAGAGAATGTCCATACTTGTCCTGGCCGGTGGTGATCGCTGATTGGTGACACCCGCCCAGACTCCCAGACCACTGCTGAATCATCAGAATTGGCTGATTTAGTTACGGCAGCCCAGACAGGCCAATCTATCAATTGATTGGTTGGAGTAATGCATTGCTGACCTGGGTCAAGGGAGCTCGGGTTTGTGGCTAGAGGTTGAAGGGGTCTAGGGCTTTGTGGGTGTGGTGGTTCACCTTGCTAGCCTGGCCTGCAGTGCACTAAAGAGGATTTAGGGAGTTGGTTAGCAGAGCTTAATCTTGCACTTAGCGGGACGTGGCATGCCGGCGGTCACACTGCGCTTAAAAAAGATGGATGCCTATATTCTTCGGCTCTCCAGGGGGCTACACAGAAAGACTTGATCAAGAGGCAGGGTCTCCGAACACTCCATCAGCCTAACAGCGCTGCTACCAGCCGCACAAGTACAGAGCTTGTGCAAACCCAAAGGATTACTTAAGAAGAACTGCAGATCAGCGAATGATAGAGAAGGAAATAGAAACAATGGGATGGATATATTAGAAGCACTTATGAGGTTTGGTGTCACCTCCTACTCCATACTGCAGTACTGGGGGTGGATGAAGATGCTATTTTGTGACTTAATATAAAAAGTTAGGTCAACAGCACTTTATGTGCATCAAATTGCTTGACAAAGCCAATTTTCATTCCTTTCCCATTAAATCATTTTTTTTTTATTGTTGAATAAGCTTTATTGCTATATCAGCCATGAACCATAATTTGCTACTTACAAGTCTGTTGCTGGTGTTACGTTTAGAGAGTATTTGATTGGAGGAAAAACAATAATGCAGGATAAGTCTTCAATATATTTAGTCTATACAGTCTTAGTCATTACAGTTTAAGAAAGACTGTAAATAACTCTAACTTTTAGGAGAACTCTAGCATATCAATAGCTTCAAAGCTGATAGTCCAGTATGGACTACGTGCCAAAAAACTAACATGATATCAAGGCTAAAAGCTGTTAAATTTTATTGAACATGAGAGTAGTGTTGTTTCTTAAATTAATTGTTTTGAAGTGTCTTTGAGCAAATCAATTAAGTGAATAAATCAGTGACTCATTCATAAAGACAAGCTGAATTTGGAATACCAACTAGCAAATTACACTTACTTTTTTTCTGAATTCAGTCCAATTGAATTAATTCCCGAATGAATCAACATTTTGAACAAATAATTTAAGTGAATGACTCAATGACTTTCTTTGATCTGCCACCTACTGAATAAATAAATAAATAAATAAATGAATAAAGTACTGCACAGTAAAATTATATTTATTATATTATATTATATTATTTACTAATCTGATTTTTTTCGTTTTGTAAAATTAGTTGATATCGTAGCTCAGTTTAAGTGCTATACAGTTCAGTTATACAGTTATACAGTTCAGAATGTTCCAGAACTTTTGTTTTATTATTATTTAAATAAAAAATGTCTATGTTATAC